GGACAATGCTGATCGAACCTCATCCTTTGTTGTCCTGATTAATCTCTTGCATCCTTTAGATCCTTCAAGATGGCCTTCACCTGCAAAAAATGAAACTTTTGCTGCAAGAAATCAGAAGTTCTCTGATCTGGTCGTCAAATGTCTGATTAAACTCACGAAGGTACTTTTTCATTCTTGGTGCTTCTAGGAATATTGTCTGAAACAGTGCTATTTATGAATAAAGCGCCAATCCTTAAGTTGCCAGGAAATCATTATCCACACAAGCAACTTAATTTTCACTTCAAAAGAATATCTCTTTTATGTTGTGATCCATGTACCAAAAATTATATTGTCCATGTTTTTTTCTTTCTTTTTTTTTTTGGTCAATTTGATGTCCTATAAAATTTTGAACAAGATTTTGTGCCACTAGCATTCATGAACTTAGTAATCTATCTTAGAACAGCCTTGTCTTATCAGTTGTGCCTTGTCTGACTTTATACTTATGAGGAGACCATTTCTGTTGGCTATGATGTAATTAAGGTCATCTATCTATTCATTTTCTGATGTTAAACCTAGAAGGATTGCTAGAACTTCTTTGTTAGTACTTAGTAATTTCTGATGAAATATGATAATTTGGGTTTGAAGATTAATGGAAAATTTATATATTCTCGTCATAATTGAGAGATTGAATGAAATCATCTGATATCATTCGATTAAACTGATAAGAAAATTCCTTCTAATTGTGGCTTATGTTGGAGAAAATTCTTTTATTTTCCGCCATAGGCATTTATATCTGTACATGTATGGATTTGGTTGTTTTCTTGTTTAATTTCATGATATCATCAATTACATTCTCTGGGATGCAGGTTCTTCAAAGCACTATCTATGATGTTGATCTTGACCGCATCCTTCAAAGTATCCATGTCTACCTGCAAGAATTGGGGATGGAAGAAATCCGGAGAAGGCATGTCTTAAGCCAAATATTTTTCTTTCTCCTTTTTCTCTGTGTTGAATGTTAATTTTTATCTTGGTCTTGAATTGATAACTGATTTCTATTCTCTTTCTTTTTCCTGCCTTCATGGTTCTGTTTAAAGAGCTGGAGCTGATGATAAACCATTGCGAATGGTAAAAACTGTTCTACATGAACTTGTCAAGCTTCGAGGGGCTGCAATAAAGGGTCACCTATCTTTGGTGCCGATAGACATGAAGCCTCAACCGATTATTCTTGCCTATATTGATCTCAATCTTGAGGTAATAGTTAATTGAATAAATGGCTATTCCAACTTTCTTAAGTTTGTATATGGCGGCATCTTCTTTTAACTACCACTATCCCTTATATTTAATTTAACAGACTTTGGCTGCGGCAAGAATGCTGACATCAACTGGCCCTGGTCAAACTCATTGGGGTGATTGTGGAGCCAACAATTCCACCCCTGCCACAAATTCTGATGCCCAGTTGAAAGTATTCTTATTGTTTTTATTACTTGATGTTTGTCTAGTAATAAAGTTGTGATTGTCCTTGATTGATGTTTGTATTATTGAAATTTATTGGTCCTTAAAATCTATTTCTCCCATTCCATTCTTACAGCAAGAACTTGCGGCAATATTCAAGAAAATTGGTGACAAGCAAACATGCACAATTGGTCTCTATGAACTTTATCGCATCACTCAGCTATACCCCAAGGTAATTAGTATAGTTTCTATTATCTATCTCGAAGGTAACTAAGCTAACTGTGGAGACTTATTTTTATATTTGTTTTAGGTTGATATATTTGCTCAGCTCCAAAATGCTAGTGAGGCATTTCGCACTTATATTAGAGATGGCTTAGCTCAGGTTTGTTTTTTTACCCCTGCTGAGTAAAATTTATTGGCTAGATTTTATGCTTGCTAATGAGTTTTACTTGCATTGTAGATGGAGAAGAATGCTGCAGCAGGAAGGACTCCCAAGTTTGCCAATTTCAACCCCTCCCCCTGCTTCTCTTACTGTTTCATCACCTGAATTTGCTTCTCTTTCCCTAGTACATACGAACTCTTTAAATGATTCTAAATCATTAAGTGCAAAACCTGAACCAACAAATTTGAATTTACCACCATCATATACTGAAGACAGCAGGGCTGGTAATGTCACAAGTGTGAGAGTTCTTGCCCCTGAAAATGCATTGGCAGACCCAAGAAATGAAAAATTTACGAGTGGAGGTAATTTGCTGTTACGTTTCCTTTTATTTTTGTTTGTTCATATACTTTTAAGGACTCACCGAGGAAGCTATTGTTGGAACTGCAGTAACCAGTGGTACATTGGATGCAATCAGAGAAAGGATGAAGAGTATGCAACTAGCAGCAGCTGCTGGGAACATTGATTATGGAACCCGCCCCTTGATGTCTGTAAATGACAGCTTAAATCTTGGTCTCCCTACTCTGACTCGTGCTTTAGATCATCCTGGTATGGAGAATCCTGCACAAGGAGGTGTACTTCCCATGGATGAGAAGGCATTGTCTGGGCTTCAAGCGCGGATGGAAAGACTAAAAAGTGGAGCACTTGAACCACTTTAAAATGTGAGAAATGAAAACAATCTTTTTGTGCAATTTTCTTCAACCTTGCATCAAAAGCCATTCTTTTAAATGGAAGGGAATTATTTAGTGCAGCCCAGTGCAGTTACCACCAGAAATGCATATGTACAGTGTTACCAACGGCATCTGTATATGGTATTCTCAGCCCTGTCCACTTTTGGTTGAAATGCCCTTCTAGATTTAATTTAGTGTAGCTGTACCTATTTTTATTTTCTGTAAATTTTGAAAATGCGATTTGGGGTTTTGTGAATTGTTATGACATTAGCATTCAGTCACAGGCTTTTTGATAGACTAAAATTTTGTTGCGAAAGTTGGATGGTAATGGAACCTTGGCACAAGAATGTTGATATTTAATTGACAATGTTTTTCCCTTAAATTGCAGTTAATTCCAATGTGTGCTGCCACTAATTTTTGGAACCCAGTCCAACAAACATGCAGATAGTTAATTTCCCCTTTACGTTTAATCCATCAGTGGACAAACGTTTTTTTCCTCATTATTATTATTTTTCAAAATTTTTGAAGATTAGAGATGTGGAAGTCCGAAAGAGAAAGAACTGATTGGCGCTTTGGACTTAAAACTCTTTGAGAATGATAACGATTACTGGGTTCAACTTGGGCAGTTAATTTCTTCGATCTCGTTACCCACATTGAATGTGTTATGTAGTTTTCAACCAAATAAAAGAGAAGGTTCATTTTTCAACCAAATAAAAGCAATGAATTATCATATTAGTTTTCAACCAAAGAAAGGAAAAGAATGTCATATTTAGATTTGGAAAATTTTTAATGTAGTATTTTGACTAAAAATATTAGACGAGATACTTCAATTTTAATTTTATTTATAAACGTCCTTCAAACGTCTAACATTGTTACAAAATATTCTTTAAAAAAAATGAGATAATTCCCTAAATAATCCCTGAATTATTACAATTTTTTAATATATTTTAAATGGACGTCTGAATTTTATTTTCATCTATTAAATTATTTAATTAATGCAATGACATGTAATAAAAACGTGACTAACACTTGTATTTTAAAAAATTAAGGTAATATTTGATTTAAGAAAACATAATTATTTTTTATTTTTATTTTTGTAAACAATAGAAAATATTAATCAAAACGTGTTTGATAGTTAAAAATAAAAATATTATTTTAAAAAATAAAAATAAATTGATATATGAAAACAAATTTTTTTTTAACTGTGAAAATAAGAAATGAACATTATTTTTTTTATATTTTACAAATTATCATATTTAATGATTTTTAATATCATTAATTAATAAAAATATATTATATTTATAATTAGATGATATTAATAGTAATATTATTGAATATTTTATTTATTTATTTATTTTTACATTTTAAAAAATAATTTTTATTTTTATTTATCAAATACATTTTTTCAAAAATAAAAAATAAAAAATAAAAACAAAAAATATTTTTTCAAACCAAACGAATTTTTTTTTTTAGAATTCTAAAAAATTATTTCCTTTTCATGAAAATTTTTATTTCCTTTTTGTTCTTTAGTATTTTTCTTTTTCCTTCTTTCCCCCTTTTCCTCTCCTACCCCTTCTCTCTTTAAAATGAACCCTCTCCCACGAGGATTTTCGGCCGCCGCTAACGTTTCCGAAGTAGCCGTGGCAGCCTTCTGCCACCGTTAGTCGGTGTCCGTTTTGCCCAAAATGTAGCAACTAATTCCTTACAGTATCCTCTTTCCTTTTCTCTAATAAATTTTCCTAAAAAGTTACAGATTAACCTAAATCTAAAATCAAAATCCAAAGTTTTAAGCCGCCAGAAAATTCCCTTGCCGTCGTCCAAACCGGCTGAAATTTGTATATATTTATATTTTTTCCTTTCTTTGCTTTTCCTTCCCACGGTTTCGGATTCCCAAAATCTCTTCGCCTTCGTGAGATTTTGAGGAATAGTCAACGAGACAAATAATTCAACAAAAAACTCAAATAGTCAGAATAAAGAGTGAAGAGAGGAAAGGGATGCTTACCTTCAATAATCTAAATGGAGAAAAAAAAGAGTGAAAACTAAAACCCTAAACCCTTTATTTTTGATTTTGGAGGGGCAAAACAATTGAAAAAAAATGAAAATAACAAGGGAGGGTAACGGGACTGGAGGAGGAAGGAAACAAGGTAAGGCCACAGTGATTTTAGACAAATGGAGGAGAAATGAACTGTCAGGGAAGAGAGGGAAGAAATAACGATGAATTGAAATCGGAAGAAACTAATCAATATTTATGTTTTATAATGGTTAATATGGTAAAATCAATTTTCTTGTTATTAATTTTAGATTTTATTATTTTTTTGAGTAATTATTTTTTTATAGACCAAAATATAAAAATTCTTATAATATCCCCTTAAATCTCTCTTTTTTATTTAAATAATTTCTCTTTTATGGCCATAAAAACTTTTCTTTTTCTTTTCAAATAAATAATATAATAAATAATATAAAAAGATTTAGCTGTCGCGTCCTCTCGCTACCCTTCAACAAATGAGGGAAAATCTTTCCAGGCAACTTTCTTTTCCTTTTATAATTTTTCTTTCTTTTTCTTTTATTTTTTCTCCTCCTCCCACAACCTTCCTCTTCTTTAAAAAATAAAGAGCAACAGGCTCTTCCATCATTGACTTCCTTTTCCTTCTTTCCTTCATCCCAAAAGTTTATATTTAAGGAAAGAAAAAGATCATAATAAAAAAGGATTTGCAAAGTTGGATGAGAAGAAGGGAGAGATGAGATCCAATCAACAACCACCACCACCGGCAGGTTTCTCCTCCTCCTCATCAGCCAATAGGAGCCGTCCACGTAGACGAGCTGACCTAACCCTACCGCTTCCTCAACGCGACCCATCTCTCGCCGTCCCTCTTCCACTTCCTCCTGCCCCCAACTCCGTTCCATCAACCTCCTCCAACGCTAACGCAACGGCTCACCAAGTCAACTTCTCGGAACTCGATCGGGTCAACCGAATAGGAAGCGGCACGGGAGGTACCGTTTACAAAGTCGTCCACCGCCCTTCGTCTCGCGATTATGCCCTGAAAGTCATCTATGGAAACCACGAGGAGTCCGTACGCCGTCAGATCCGTAGGGAGATCGAGATTCTCCGTGACGTGGACCACCCTAACGTCGTCAAGTGCCATGAAATGTACGATCACAACGGCGAAATCCAGGTCCTTTTGGAATTCATGGATGGCGGATCCTTAGAAGGGACCCACATATCTCACGAGTCTATCTTATCAGATCTAGCCCGACAAATCCTCAGCGGTCTAAATTACCTTCACCGGAGACACATCGTTCACCGCGACATAAAACCCTCGAATCTGTTAATCAATTCAAAGAAGAAGGTGAAAATAGCTGATTTCGGGGTGAGCCGAATCTTGGATCAAACCATGGATCCATGTAATTCATCGGTAGGGACCATAGCTTACATGAGTCCTGAAAGGATTAACACTGATTTGAACCATGGGCTCTACGATGGTTACGCTGGGGATATTTGGAGTTTAGGGGTTAGCATATTGGAATTTTATTTAGGTAGGTTTCCTTTTGCTGTTGGGAGACAAGGGGATTGGGCCAGTCTTATGTGTGCGATTTGTATGTCTCAGCCACCGGCGGCGCCGCCTAGTGCTTCCTATGAGTTCAGACATTTTATATCGTGTTGTTTGCAGAGGGAACCGGCGGGGAGATGGACGGCGGCTCAGTTGTTGCAGCATCCTTTTATAGTCAGAGGACAACATCAGGTTGCTCAGAATCTACATCAGTTATTGCCACCTCCACCTCCTCTGTCTTCCTAGTAGTTCTTTTTTCTTTGGAAAAAGATTCTTCTGTAAGTTTTGATATAATGAGGGTTTGGGGGGTGGGGAATGTGGGGCAATGCTTTTCCTTATTTTTTATTTCATGTTTCAGTTAATCAATCTTGGTCTTTTGATAACAGATAATCTTTGCAATATTAGAAAGAAAAAAAAAGAAAAAAAAAAAACTCTGTTATGACTGGCCTTCCTTGATTTTGTTTATTGTTTACTATGCTTTTATTAGCTTGCTTAGAGGCTCTTTTAATTCTATTATTATTTGAAAGAGTTGCAATGCAGTTTACCCGTCTTAGTTAAAATTTTTGGAAATGACTTGATTATGTACTAAACTGGAAAGGGAATGGATGCCTTATATTTGTCTGTCTATTATCTATATTGGTCCTGGAGACTGAAGTAGAGGGGTAAATGTAAAAGGGGCAGTTTCATATCTTGGTTTGGACGCTTATTCTTGTTTTGTTGTTTGGATAACCTTTTCTTCTGTTGCAAAATTTGTGCATCATTGGCCCCTCTTTTTTTTTTGAAGACATGCTTATTATATGTCTTATAATAGCTGTCTTGGCAAATGGGAAACCAGGTTTAATTGGGGTGGATTATCAGGTTTTTATTCTTGATGATTTTTAAGCTTGTTCCACGTCTGGAAAGATTTGCTGTTACTTTTTGTTCACCTTTAAATTGTCTAATTTCCAGTTCCTCCATTTGCTTTGTTTAGATTTTATTACTGTACATGGAAAGTATGATTAGTCATTTTGTGATGCTTTTATAGATTGGGATTTTTTTACACTTGCTTATTATTCTCTTTTTCAATTCATACACAGCAAGCATGATGGATCATAGAGTTCTAAGATGCAGTTATGTGACTGAGTCTAAGGTAGAGCCATGCCACAAATAACATTAGTCTGTGTGTTTTGATTGATGTTATTATTGTTTGCTAGGACTTTTGAGAATGATAATGTTTTATCAGTTTTGATTTTTGCCTAGCATGCTCTTATTCTGGAAACTTTGTTCTGATGTGCTGGTTTGGCTTGGTGTCTGGTTTTATTGAGACTATTTGCTTTTCCAAAATTTGGACAGCCTGGCTCAACCAGTCTGTCTGTGTTCTCCAGATCAATGTCCGATAATAGTTGTATGTGTATGCCATTGTCAGAGGAGAAAGCCTCTGTAAAATGGCCTTGCCAGAGGAGTGCCTGCCTGCCTCTTGCTGCGCTACAATGAGTTGGGATTGCGCATTTTTGGAGTTTGATTGGGTATTGATGTTTGGTTAAATTGTACAAATGTTGTACTGTTTACTCTTAATCCTGCCATCTTAAATTATAAGTTAGTCGTTTCATGCCACCAAATTAAGAGGTGTCTTCCAACACTTTGCGATTTCTTTTTATATTCTTAAACTATGGTTTCTTTTGTGCAACAAAAAGTATTTTTTGGATAAATTAAAAAAAAACTTTTAAATGGTTTTTTTTTTAAGATTAAAAGTACAAGAGTGGGTTGATAAATATTTTTATTTTGTAAAAGTTAAAAAAAATTACCCAGTGATTAAATTGGTAAGGTAGGAATAATTGTTTGTAATTCAAATTTCAGAGTACGTGTATGTTTAATGTAAATTTTAATCAAGATTTGCGGCATGCTACGATCTTGAAATGAGATTTTTAGGAAGTTGCGTTATACGGTAAGACAAGGTCTCATTGACAATTTATAGGTAGTTGATTCTAGAGAGTTTTGTAGGTTAGTCTTTCTTGGATAAATGAAGATAAATAAATTTATAGGTAGTTGTTTTTTGGCCAAGATAAACACCAAGGAAGATGGTGGTTCTACTGGAACATACGCCTCTTAAGAGTGAGTTGCTATCCAAGCTTCTGTAATATTTGCTTGTCATCTTTTTGTTCTTAGTTCCTTTATAGGAATAACATTCAAGAGCTGATCCACTTGCATTAGAATAAGCTTCAGCTTCCAATAAGAGCGGCTCTTCCTATGTAGCATTTCCGAGAACACAACCTAAGAATCAATCTCCAAAATCTCCTTATGATACTTCTTGTTAGCTGCAATCTCCTCCACCCCAACTTTTATTGCAATCTCCTCCACACCAGCTATAAAGGACCTTATTTCTAACCAAAGATTTTACACCACTCACTCAACAATTTGTTTCCTAAACTTGACCAAACCCATCTACAAGTGATCTAATTCTAAAGATAGTTTCATTTGTATTTAGGCTTTTCCGACCATTAGAGCGGCATATCTAACCTTCCAGATTAGCTTTTCCCACTATTAGAGCAACACATCTAGCCTTCCAGATTAGCTAACAGGAAAATGCTAATCTCTCCATATCCTACTTGGAGTCTCATTCTCCATTAAACAATTAAAGATTCTCATCAGCCATCCATCAACAATGCTAATGCTATCCTTGTCAACCTTAAGTCAATAGCATACCTCAAACCATATTTCCTGCATCTAATCACATTAAAAAAGAACATGCACAATATTTTTTTTTTCACTCTTATTGGTGGTGTTTTGAGTGAAGGTGAGTTGATTGGTGATCTGAAAGATAAGCTGGGATTGGCTTGGACTTTGTAATAGGACAACACAGTTAAAGGGTATCAAGGTTGATTCTTTGGAACATGCTTTGACGTTTAAGTTAGTTTATTGTTTAGAGTTTGTCTTAAAAAAGGTGAATTGCAAGGAATGTTCAAGGAAGCTTAAAGGAGAAGAATTCAGAGTTTTTACCATATATAAGTCTCCTTTTTATCTTATATATAAGAGAAAATGTGGTGATTGACTAGGGTTGTTGACAGTTGATGGTAAATCCATGTGGAGATCAAGGAAAAGCTACGTAGGTAAGTGTAGGTTGCATTTAATGATTTAAGGCCAACTTGGGTTGCATTTAATGATCCTAGACAAGTTAGAGGCTAGTTAGTTTGCTGTTAGGTGATGCCCTGCTGGGTTGTCAATGAAGGTAGTTGGACGAATTCCCTTTGGGTAAGGGTGAGCTCGTTTTGTTGTAAGGAGTCTGAATGTTGACCCTATTCAATGGTTACGTGAAAGTTGGGCATATATTGACTTGGCAAGCATAGGGATTGACTTTATTGATTGAGTGGGTAGGTATAACAATTGTTCCCCAAGTCTGATAGGGTTATAAAGTGACCACCTTTAAACCAATGGGAAGATGCATTATGGAGTTTGGCAAGTGAATCAGGTTGAAGAATTTCATTTTGGTGGGCTTTCTTAAGGTCGTTTAATGATGTGTCTTATTGAATGGAGGGACTTTCTCTTAGCAAGTTATGCTGATGACTTGTTTCTATTGAACAAGGACTTTGTCTGGGCAAGCCATTTCGATGACATGTCCCTGTTGGGTGAAGGGCTTTGTCTTGGTGAGTTATGTTGATGATATGTCCTTTTTGGTGAGGGACTTTGACTTGATGAGCCATACTAATAATATGTCCCTGTTGGGCAAAGCACTGGGTCATGGCGAGCTAGGTGCTTTGTAGAGACATAGGGAGTGGTTGGTGAGAACTTAAGAAAATTTTTTTGTCTTAGACACTATGCAATGCACATGGTACAAGTGGATGGAACGTGTTTTCGAGCGTGTTTTGAGACACGTGCCCATGTTTATGAAATGTGTGGCTGTTTATGACACGTGGCTTAATAGGGTTGAAGACTTGTTAGGTAAAATTAATGGGTTTGAATTTTAAATTGTACTGGTTTAAAAAATGGGGAATAAATGTTTTTTTTTTTTGAAAAATTGTGTAACCAAAGCGTCAATCTGAATTGGGAAATTATTGTGGACTGTGTCGTGACCATTTTAAATGGTGTTTTAATTCATATCCTTATATTACTAAAGCTTGGCTGGGTATAAATAGAGGAAAATAGGAAGTTAAACTCACCTTGTGAAGTGTTTCGAGTAAGAGTAATGTTTGGTGTATGATTTATTGTGTATTGAACGTATGGCATTGTCTTCACGAATTTTTAGGTAAGTATTTAGGTCATGTTTGATGCATAGGATTATTAATAAGAGAAAATGATAATTATCTTATATCATGTTTGATTTGCATTTAATGAGAAGGATAGGGATTTCAAAGAGGATTAATATCCTTTTGGCATATGATTATTCAATAATCCTTAAGTGGAAAGAATTATTTTTAATCCATGAGATTAAACTTATATGTTCAATTATACCTTTAAAAATTATATCAATAATTTAAATTATATAAATTTTGAGGAAACATAATTTTGACAAATAAATAAATTATCCTATCCTAATCCTTGCATAGATCAAACACAAAATAAGATAATATTATTTAATCTAATCCTATTTATAATATTATTTTATCCTATCTTATCATAATCTTGTATATAAAAAATGACCTTAGGTCTTATTTTTACGTTTTCTTTATATTTGATTAGGCTTGGATAAATGGCATCCAAAAGAAAAATAATTATAAGGGAGTCTAGTGATAATGAGAGAAGTACAGAGGGAAGGGATAATGGGGCCCAAGGTGGTAGTGGTAGGGGTCGAGGGATCAGGGGCCGTGTGAAAGGCCAACCAGGCCAGGGTATTGGTGGCCGAGATAGTTATTTGATCTATAGAGTTATAGATCTAATTTTTTTCTCCAAGATTTGGTAATTTCCATATTTAAAATTTAGTTTTTGGTTTTCCTTGTTATTATTAATTTATATGATTTCTCTTTATTACTTTCTTTTCCATTGTGTTTTGATCTTAGTTTACATTATGTTCTTTTAATTTAAAAGTTTGGTTCAAATTTAGTAAGTTTCCAGATATTTCTTTTGTTAGAAGTTAAAGGTAGTTTATGTAGTTAAATTTAGTTACCAGTTAGTTATTTTCAATTAATGCTTTTGAGAGATTGGGTAAGCCAAGCCGAGCCATTGAGCCTAGCCGAAAGCAACTTTGGTATTTTTATTTTTAATTTTTTTTGTTTTTGAATTTTATTTATTTGTTAACTAAAATTGCTTTGTTTAGATAAAATAAATTTATGAATTTTACCAAATTATTAGAGGATTTTATAAGAAAATTTAGTAAAAATATTTTAAAATTAATCATACCAAATTATTGGAGGACTTAAATCTCAAAATTAAATCTTATCAAACTATTTAATTAATTATTTAAAAAAACAAAATTTTTAATCTTACCAAATTATTGGATGATTTAAATCTCAAAATTAAATCTTACCAAACTATTGAAAGATTTAATTATTTTTATAAGAAAAAATAAAATTTTCAATCATACTAAACTATTGGAGGATTTAAATCTCAGAGTTAGATCTTACACCAAACTATTGGAAGATTGAACGATATTTTTTAAGACAAATTCATAAATAAAATTTCAAATAAAATTTTTACCAAACTATTAGGAATGTGCATCAAAATAAAATTTTACCAAATTATTGAAAGATTTTATTAACTATTTTTAAAAATAATTAATTTATTGAATACACATCAATGAATTTGATGACGGAGCCTTTTTTAAGTGAAACACTAGCCTCCATGAATACTCTTAAGGTGAGAATTTTTTTTTAAATTGTTACAAACTATTGGAATAATTTTAAGTACAAATTTCAATATTAAATTTACTTGGTAAAATTAAAAACATGTTTTAAGGCTTGGATAACATGCAATCAATGGTTACTATCTTTTGGATGGACGTTGTGAGAGTGTTATAATCTTTTTTACGGATTATTGTACTCATAGACTTAGATCTAGTTTCGTAGAATATAAGGTATTTTTTTAAAGATACCTAAGTCAAATATAGGATTTCTCTTTAAAATAAGATAAATTTAGTTAGGTGGTCAATTGCACCTAAATAAAAAAAAAGATTGGTGATGACTCTTCTTTTTATGTTTAGTGATAGGTTCATGAATCTATATGTTATAATAGTTTAACGACTACATTGAAACTTCGAAAGTCGAGCCAGTAACTGATTTTATGTTATTCAATCCTTAATTAATTTAATGGTTTTAATTTTTTTTCCATTTAGTTTTTTATTTTATTCTTTAATTTTATGTTTATTAGCATTTGATAGTTTTTTCTACACATACTATTTGCATATGCATGTATAAGCTTTATACCCAGGCTCCATCCTTCTAGAAAGGAGTAAAGTATCTACATTTTCGTGAGGTTTTATATCTCCACATAGGTTAGCGAAATACTCCCATTCAAATTGAATATCTTTTTTGTTTGTAGCCTATGATGAGTGAGAATTGGAGTGCTTTGCTAGTCCAACATTGATGATAGTAGAAAACAATTTGAGAATCTTTTAGATTGTGAAACATCATAATTAATCATATAGTAAACTTAGAGAACTCGGCCTTAAGGTAGAGATATGTCAATCTCTCATGTAAGACATGTCTTTGTAATAATCTTATATTTGTTTATATTTTGTTGAGATAATATTTTTTTAATTTTAAAAAATAAAAA